TCCATACATATAAGTAGGTTCTCTTTATACCCTGGAACCCTGGTGTGGCGCTATAAGGTAAGATTGATAACTGCAAGTTCACAGGTTCAAACCAACCAGCTGCTCCTTGGAAACCCTATACAGATTCCTCATGAGTCACAACAGACTTGTCAGCACTTCGCAACAACGACTCTGTTCCCTGGGGTGTTATTTTATTTGAATGTCAGCAGTTGAAAATGGAACCTGGGCTCACACCATGGACCCCTGCTGGACAGGGGCGGGGCCTGGTGTCTGCCAGAGCAGATACTGTCCAATTACCTCACACTTCTAGTGGGCTTCACACCACAAGGTCAGCAGTTCAAACCCACCAGCTGCTCCTCAGAAACCCTATACAGGCTTACTATGAGTCGTAACCAACTCAACCCAACTCGATGGGACTTAACAACAAAACAACTCTCCACTTCTGGTGTGGCACTGTAGGATCAGCACTAAATTTCAAAACACAAAGTCAGCAGTTCACTGAAACACAAAATTGCTCCTCAGAAATCCTATACCAGGGTTTAACAACAACAACAACAACACCTCTCTACTATAGGAGCCCTGGTAGTGCAGTAGGTAGTTGAGCTTCTAACTGCAAGGTCAGCAGTTTGAATCTACCAGCCATTCTTCAGGAGAATGAGGACATTTACAACCTCAGAAATTCTATTCAGTACATAACCGCAATCACCACCCCTCTGCTGTGGCTCTGCCCAGGCACTGGCTCTTGGGTGGAATAGGGAACCTGATGTGGGGGGGAAAGGTGATGTCCCTGCTGTAGGCCCCTGCAGCCACCACCTCTCCTGGACCTTGTTGGGGTGGCCTTGGGGTTAGCTACCACCTCTTGTTCTCTGGGCCTGCTATGGGCAGCTGGAGTAAATAGATTACAAGGATCCTCTTCTGACAAGGTTTCTTAGTTTCCTTCTGAACACAAATTTTACAAATTTCCTCAGTTTATCGTTATACAGTAACATGAAGGTTTGAAAAGATGTCATTTTGCCCATGTCCAGGCTATTGATGGAGATGTGGTTTTTGCCTTCAGGTGTCAAAAGGGTTTAGGTAGAAAACCTTGCTGGTCATTTTCTTGCATGGCTGGCAGGCTAGATGTAGTTCTAGCTGGTTTTAGGAGCCCAGTCTGTTTTGTTTTTTTTTTACCTTGTGCGGTGCAGTGGATTACTGAATAAAGCTCTTCTGGTCATGGTCTTTACAACACCTACCAAATGGTTTTGTTCTCCTGGGTCTGGCTAAGAGAAGGTGGGGGAAATGCTGATGGATTATATGATTCAGTTGTGAGTGATTATTAACTGAGTTCATTGTGAAGGACAGAAGGCTCCTCAGTTGTGGGAGTTGGGTGACTCAAGGCACTCAATTAGGAAAGTAGGTTTGCTGATCCACAGAACTAGAGTCTATTACCTAAGAATTGAGGCTTATAGCAAAATAGAATGTCCAGTGGGCATTTATCAACCGTGCTAAAAGACCTTTGTAACATTGCCTGTGTAGGGCAGAGGCCAGGCCAAGAGGGCAAGGGCCAGAGAGAGGCTTACCTGTGGACACCATAGAGAAGACAGAGTCCTGACTAAAGAGTGTCTTGAGCATTTCTGATTCAGAATTATAACCTGTTAACTTCTCTGTTTGTTGCGAAGTGCCGTCAAGTCAGTTATGACCCATAGCGACTCTTAAAGGGTTTCCAAGGAGCAGCCGGTGAGCTTGAAACGGACCTTGCAGGTCAAACAGCTTTACAGTCTGGTGCATTAATCCACAGCGCCACACCAGGACTTCCTAGTTAACTTCCCTAGTAAACCCAATTATCTTGAGTCTGGTCTCTGAGATCTATGTGGCCATTGCAATGAATTATGGAACCCAGCAAAGATGTAGAGAGTGCTGTGGGAGGAATGGTGGGTGCAGAATTGGTTAGGACGGCTGGAGAGGGGAGGTGTGTCTGACCTCAAACCAGGAGACCAGTGAGTCTTCTCTGCCCAACTTTCAAAACCGGACGTCAGACTCTATCCTCCCCGCCATGTTTGTACTATCTCAGTAACCCAATTACGGAACTAAATATCAAAGTTCCACCTCGAAGTGCCATCATTCTGTCTCAACAATGTACCTCTAGACTTGAACTTTCCTCACAATGTGACACATCACTGAGTTAAGTCGTAGCCAACTTTCAAATGTTCTTAGAAATGAAAACTAAGAATTTTACGTTTGTAAAAAAAACAAAATCAGGCTCAAGACGATTGCACATTCTATAGAACTGATGAAAGATTCATCAGTCACAGTCCTCTCCTCTCTGTCTCTCCCTACAACATATTCTGTGAAAGAGATGTTGATGAGAGGACAATGGAATTGAAGTAACTGGGTCACTCAGGAAAATATCTCTGGGGTTGAAACAGATGCCAAGGTGTACAGATCAAACATATAAATGTTCAAGAAGAAAGGCATTGGCTCCCCTCACCCCATCATGAGCAGGACTAAGTCATCCTGATATCCTTTCCCTGTAACATCTAGTCCTGTTACCTGGAGTGAGTGTTGCAATATTTGTTGTTAGTTGGCACGGAGTTGATTCTGATTCTTGGCACGTAAAGATCTGAGCTTCTCCAAAGTGTTTTTAAGGCTGTGACCTTTCAAAAGCACATCCCACCTCTGGGTGGGATGGGATCGCCAAACTATTGGCTAATAGTTGAGCGCTTAACTGTTTTAGCCACCCACTGACTCTTGAATATCTGTAGTGTGAATTAATGCACAAAATGGATCTGAAATGAATGTTTCCTGATTGCCTAGTATGGTCTTCACTCAAAAGTGCACATAAAAAGAAAAAAAAAGTGCACATGATGGATAAATTTTTTAAAAAGGGCGGTCTGTTATTTCTATTGAATTATGTTGAAAATTTATCTTAAATTGGAAACTATTTTGGAGTTTCTTCAAAAACAAAACAGGCTTACAAGCTTTCAAGAGGGAACCTAGATCCAGAGGGCCTGGAGGAAGGTAGAATCTCCAGTGAGTAGTATTCAATCTGACTAGGCGGGGCTGATGCAATGTCTCTTGTGATACAATAGTGAATAATTGTTATCAGGACTGATTGTGAGGGTTGGAAATGTAAAGGTAGATGTTTTATAGCAAGGAGGGGAGGTCCCTAGGACCATCAAGGGAGAAGAGCAGAGAGCAGGACCCTACCCAGAGAAGCAGTGATGCCTGAAATGGAGCCAGAGATGATGACGTGGAGCGATGGAGCAGCTGGAGACTTTAGATCCAGAGAGGGAGAGCTGAAGACCTGGGGCGTACGGGGGAAGGATTGCATGGAGGGGATTGTAACCATGGCAATGAGATGATATACGATAGAATGAATGTAAAACTAATGTTCTCCCATGTAAACTACCACATAATTCACAATAAAACATTAGAAAAACAAAACAAACCAGGGCTTCATCCATGCTGCTCATCTACATTTTATTGCCAATCATTCTATAATCCAGTTTACTTAGACTCTGCCAGTGACCTCCTGTCCCGTTTCTACCTGGAACTGAGCTTCAGTTTAGAGTCATCACAAAGAAACAGATCAAAATAGTGGAAGTACATTTAGGAAAATGTATCTTCAGCAGAACATCAAGCAAGGGACTGCCAATTCTTTCTGATTAACTAGAATTTAAAAAAATAAATAAGAACTATATGTCTCCTTACTACCCCCAGCTGGCATAGTAATATGGTGCTAAATTGAAGTACATTTACCCAATTCATGCTCACTCTAAACCCAAAGCAAAATTATACAAAAATGTCCGTCTAACTCAAAGCCGTTTGAACTGCAAGGTCGGTGGTTCAAGCTCACCAGCTGCTCCTCAGAAACCCTATACAGGGTTGCTATGGGTCAGAACTGACTCGACGGCACTTAACAACAACGACAAACTTGGACAAGGTTAGGTTTCACTCACAAATGCTTCAGGGTTCCCGTTTCCCTATCCAATATGAAATATCAGGTGACGTTATCTTTTTCTTCATTCTTCAGGAAGTGTAGAAAGGATTTGGAAAGACCCAGTCTCTTTTTCAAGGAGGCTGATGGGGTGGGAGAAATTCTAGAAGGAAACCTGGACCAGAACTTGAGTGTGTACCCGCATTCTACTCCATAATGTCATTCTGATGCCCTTCGTTGTTACATGTGTCTGTAGTATACACTGCTCTAGATTTGAAAATAAATCACTCATGTCATTAGATTGGTAGGTGGATTTACCAGGAAAAAGATGCAAAAGTCAATATGCCCTAAGCTTTAAAACATTTGTTTCTGCTTGGGTAAAAAGCTGATTGAACGAAAAAAAACAAAAAAAAACAAAAAAAAAAACTTGATTTTCTTTTTAAATTGTGGTTTGGGTGAAAGTTTACAGAGCATTCATTTGCCATTCAACAATTTATACATATTTTGTTTTGTGACACTAGTTGCAAATCTTCTCGATGTAACAACATTCTTCCTGATACCTCCTTGGTTCCCTCCCCTCGCCCCCCTCCAAAGAAAATGATCTGATACTTTTAAATCAATCAATCAACTTTATTACTTGTAACCCTAAATTAGTTTTCTTTAAAATGACATTTGATTCTTACTGTGTTTACATCAGGAAGACCTAATGATGCAGTGATTATAGTGCTTGGCTACTAACCAAAAAGGCAGTGTTTGAAACCCACCAGCTGCTCCTCTAGAGAAAGATGTAGCAGTCAGCTTCCATAAAGCCTTAGAAACTCTATGGGGTGGTTCTACTCTGTCTTATGGCATCACTATGAGTCCAAGGAAACTAGGTAACAGCGGGTTTGAGATTGGTTGGTTTTTACATCTGTCAAAGCAACATCACTGCACCACAAAATTACCCATATGCAATCGAGTACCCGATACATGCTTCTTGATTTTGCTAACAAGTGATAGAAAAGATCACATCATCACGAAGCATTTTCCTGAAACACTGTGTATTGTTTGTTTTCTTTTAAGACAGTAGCATCAAAGGGTTGTTTCAAAGGGTGAGTCGTTCTCCTTTCACAAGCCGGGCTCGAAATTGCCAAATATCCTGAAAATAATGCCAAAGAAAACAAATTTATGGAACACTTCAATTTGCCTATTCACCATAAGTCACTGTTTTCTAGTCTCTACACAATGGCTAAACAGCAGAAAAAGAAAATTCTACATAATAATCACATTAAATAAAACAGATTCTGAAATATGGATTAATTTATTTAACAATATCTAAAATAGTGTTAGCTAAACTAAATGAGTGTGTTCCCAAACTGTTGATCCTGTCTTACTTGGCACATTTGTTGGTTTCAGATAGGTAGGTGCTATGTTTGGTCAATGCAAACATTTCCCTGCTTTCTTTCCAGGCCTGTCAGGATTTTGATGTCAGAATTGACTTGTTGGCAAAAAACAAGAGCTTATGATTAGTGAAAAGGGTTGTCATGGGATACTGGTTTGTTTTTATTTCTTAAAAACAATAAAGACTTTCTTATTTATTGTTTATTTTTGAGCAATCAGAAAGAAATGGTGGGGAAACTGATTTTGGAATGAGACCTAACTCTGAAATCTAGTGCTGCAACTTATGAAACTTAGGCCAACCTCTTGGACACTTTATTTTCTCATTACCAAATTGGAATTATAATCACTGCTCCATTGAGTCTTAGTGAAGAAAATAAGAAAGTATATATGAAAGTGCATTTGTACCTTGACAAATGATTATATAGCAGATGCTGGTGTTATTCTAAATAAACTTTGTCAACTATTGAGTAAACAAAACATAGGAAGAAATTCATTTAGCATAATCTTATCAAGGCTCAACCATATTGCATAAATTTTTGTACCTTAAAATTAGATGGAAATCTCAACTGACAAAATATTTCAACTCTGTAAGGCATTTTATGTACTAGACAAAGGCAGAAGGGTAAGAACTGTCCTTCTGAACTAGATGGTGCCTGGGGACCACTACCAACTATTCTGAAAGAGATGACATGAGAAGGTCCTGGGTCCAGAATGGCAGAAACTGGGGAATAAAACTCACAATCATATATAAGACCAGGCTTACTGACTAGATAGAGACCGGTGGAACTGCAAGACTATGACCCTTGGTCACCCTTCAAGTCTGGAAACAAACTCACCCCAGTGGCAAAAGTTAGGTTTACAGTGGGGGCAACAGCACTAGTGAGGCATGTGCATCATAGAGTGATCAATCATTCGAGATCAAAAGGGCAGCATTTACCTAAGGACAAAATTAATTAGGGTGGGAAAAAAGGAGGACTAGAAACAAGAATTTACAGGGAGAAAAAGGGATACATGATGCTACATGGAAAGGAAGGCCATCGAGATGTATTCAAGTGTATGATTTGTCGAACGTAAAACTGATCATTTTGTGTGTAAACCTTCCCTTGATTCACAATAAAAAGCAAAAAACAAAAACTACTACTATTCCTTTACTGATATATAAACTATTGTTTTAAAAGAATGTAAAGAGATCCTGAGAAAACGAAAATATTGTTGAAACATAAACACATCATAACACAGGCTGGATGGGTATGAACTTGAAATACATGAGCTTGAAAGAAGCTACTTGTACTTGGGTAACCACAGGGAGGAAGTGGGACAACTGTTGTTGCAAGGAGGTGATTGCAATTATTGATATGAAACAAAGTCTATGATTTGTTGAATATAAAAAGCTGATGATCTTGTCTGTAAACCTTCACTCAATTCCCAATAAAAAAAAAAAAGAAAGAAAGAAAAGAAAATATAAGAAGCCAATAAGAATTTATGCAATCACTTAAAAAATAAAGTCCCTTATTTTGACTTATTTCCCTCAGCACAATGTGTTCCAGCATGGAGTCATCCATACTGTTGCATGTGTCAAGACTTCATTGCTCTTAGGGCTGAATAATATTCCATTGTATGTATCACATTTGGTTTATCCATTCATCTGTTGATGAGTATTTAGGTTGTTTTCACCTTTTGGCTACTGTGAATAATGCTGCAGCAAGCACTGGGTACAAGTATCTGTTTGAGTCTCTGCTTTTAAGTCTTTTGTGTAATCCCTTGTAGCTAGAAGTGGAATTCCTGGGTCATGTTGTTGATTGGTGTCATCCAGTTGGTTCTGACTTATAGCAACCCTATGCACAACAGAACAAAACAATGAACCATCCTCACAACTGTTATGTTTGAGTCCATTGTTGCTGCCCACCATGTCAATCCATCTTGAGGGTCTTTCTCCGTGAGGTCATATGGATTCTATATTTAGTTTTTTGAGGAATAGCAACACTGTTTTCCACAATAGCTGTGTCATTTTGCATTCCCACCAGCAATGGAATTTGTTGTTGTGAAGTGCTGTTGAGTCGGTTCCAACTCATAGTGACTCTGTATAGGGATCCAAGAGCAGCTGGTGGATTTGAACTACTGACCTTTAAGTTAGCAGTCCAGTGCAAATCCTACAGTGCCACATGAGAACTTCAATGGATAAGGGTTCCAATTTCCTCCACATCTCACCAACATTTTGTTTTGTTTCATGTTGGCCTTTCTAATGGGAGTGAAATGGTCTCTCCTTGTGGTTTTGGTTTGCATCTCTCTGATGGTTAATGATGCTGAGCATCTGCCATGTGTTTGGTAGTCGTTTGAATGTTGGTTATTAACTCCTGTAGTATATATGGTTTCCAGAGATATTCTCCTAGTTGTTAGCTTATCTTTACACTTTTTTTTGGTAAAGTCCTTTGATGACAAAAAACAGTTTATGAAGTTTCTTACATTTATTTATTTTGTCCTTTGTTTGGACTTTTGTTATTATGCTAGATCATTCATTGTTTAAAAACAAAACCTGACAGAGTTGTCCCTGCTTTCTTCTATGAATTTTATGGCTTTCATTTACACATTTATGTCCTTCACACATTTTGAATTTGTTTTTGTATATGGTGTGAGACATGGGTCCTGTTACATTTTTCTGCATGTGGGAATCTAATTTTCCTTGCACCAGTTATTCAAGAGACTCTCCTTTCACTATTGGATGGACTTAGACCCTTGTCAAAAAGCAGATATGGATTTATTTCTGGACTCTCAATTCTATTCCTTTCATCAATGTGTCTATTGTTACACCTGTACCAAGCTGTTTTGATTACTGTAGCTGTATGTTTTTGTTGATAAGTACCGTGGAGTCGGTTCTGACTCATAGTGACTCTGTACAGGGTTTCCAAGGCTGTAAATCTTTATGGGACCAGAACGCCTCATCTTTCTCCCATGGAACTGATGGTAGTTTCGAACTGCTGACCTTGAGGTTGGCAGCCTGACTCGTAACCACTACACTAGCTGTATAGTATTTTTTAAAATTAGGAAGTATGAGTTCTCCTATTTTGTTCACTTCTTACAGCATTAATTTAGCTCTTTGGGGCTTCTCGTCATTCTGTATAAAATTAAGGAGTGGTTTTTCCATTTCTGTAAAGAAGGCTATTTAAATTGTGAATGTGATTGTATTGAATCTATAGATTGCTTTAGGTAGGATTCATGTCTTAACAACATTAAGTCTTCCGATGCATGAACATGAAAACCTTTCCACTTACTTAAGCTGTCTTTAACCTCTTTCAACAATGTTTCATAGTTTTCATTGTACAAATCCTTCATGTCGCTGCTTAGATTTATTCCTAGATATTTTATTCTCTTAGATGCTATTGTAAATGGAATTATTTCTCAGCTGGTTTGTAGAAACCCAACTGATTTGTGTGTGTGTGTGTGTGTGTGTGTGTGTGTGTGAATTAAAGGTTTATTGTGCAGATCGTTAGTTTTACATTCAACAAAGCATACACTATGTTTCATCTCAATAGTTGCGAATCCCTCAATGTAACGTCACTTATCCCATTTTCTTCCTAAGTTTCTTGTTTCCATTCCTCTTTCTTCCCCAACCCTTCCAAATTTTGTCTTTGGGTAAATGCTTCCCTTTTAATCTAAAATGATTAAGACCATTCTATAATGTGAAAAATCTAACTGATTTTTGTTTGTTGATCTTGTATCCTGTCACTTTGCTTAACTCTCTACTAGCTCTAGAAGTTTTCTTATGGACTCTGGGATTTTCTTACATAGAATCATATCATCCATGTAGACGTCTTCTTTTCCAATCTTGTTGTTGTTGTTAAGTGCCATCAAGTCAGTTCCAACCCACAGCGACCCTGTATAGGGTTTCCAAGGAGCAGCTGGTGAGCTTGAACCACCAACCTTGCAGTTCAAACAGCTTTGCAGTCTGATGCATTAACCCACAGCGCCACACCTATTATTTCTTTTTCTTCTCATACAATATTGAATAGAAGTGGCGAGAGCAGGCATCCTTGTCTTGTTCTTGATTTCAAAGGGAAAGTTTGCAGCCTTTCTCCATTAATTATAATGTTGGCTTCAGGCTTTTCATACTCATATATGCCCTGAATCATATTGTGGAATTTCTTTTACCCAATCTCATTTTGGTTTCATCAATAAAGAGTGTTAAATTTCATCAAATGCTTCTTCTGCATCCATAGAGATGATCATGTGTTTCTTTCCTTTGTTCTATTGACACAGTGTTATTACTTTTACTGATTTTTTTAATGCGGAACCATCCCTGCATTTCTGGACTAAATCCCAGTTAGTTATGGTATACGGCCAGTTTAATATGTTGTTGGATTATGTTCACTGAAATTTTTTTGAGAATTTTTGCAATTATATTTATAAGTGATATTGGCCTGCCGTTTTCTTTCCTTGGTGTATCTTTGGTATGGAAATCAGGGTTATGTGTGCTTCATATAATGAATTAGGGAGTATTCCTTCCTTCTCCGTATTTTGGAAGAGTCTATGTATAGAGTATTGATGTCAATTCTTCTCTAAAATTTTGGTAGAATTCCCCAGGGAAGCCATCTGACCCAGCACTCTGTGGTTGAGAGGCATTTGATCACTTGTTATGAGTTTGTTGAGACATTCTTTCTCCTCTTGAGTTTGCGTAGGTTGCATGCTCCTAAGAACTTGTCCATTTCACCTAGGTTATCCAGTTTAGTGCGTACAGTTGTTGTTCACCGTATTCTGTCAGAATGCTTTTTATTTCCATCAATCACTTGTAATGTCCCCTCCCTCTTTTTCAATTTTGGTTATTTGCATCCTTCCACTTCTTTGCCAATCTCAAAGTTTGTCAATGTTAGTGATCTTCTCAAAGAACCATTTGTTGATTTTCTCTGTGGTTTTTCTGTTTTCAGTTTTACTTATTACTGCTCTAATCTTTTTTATTTCCTTTTTCTGGTACATTCAGCCTTCGTTTTTTATTTCTTTCTAGTTTCTGGAATTGTCAAGTTAGGGTGATGACTTGCGATCTTTCTTCTTCATGTAGACATTTATTGCTATAAGTCTTCCCCTCAGTACTTACTGCCTTTGCTGCATCCCATACTTTGGGGTATGTTGTGTTTTCATTTTCATGTGACTCTAGGAAATGTGTGATTTCTCTTTTGATTTCTCCCTTCACCTATTGGTAGTTTAATATTGTGTTATTTAATTTCCATGTTAGTAATAACACACAGGAACTACTTTGTGACATGCATCAAAATATTGTTATTACTGTATTATGTTACAGATGTTTTTGTGTATCTGGAAGTTTTCTTTAATTTTTTTTTTTTAATAGTACATTATGTACTTTAATTTTTTTTTTTTAATAGTACACTATGTACTAAGACAAACATTTGACTAACTGATGTTCAACAAAAACAGTAGGAAAGGTAAGGCAATCTGCCTGCATAAAGATTTACAATCTTGGAAACCCTCTGTAGGTCTCTATGAATCAGAATTTCCTCTGTGATAGTGGGTACATAAACAAAGGAAGTGCACATCTGGTAATCTTTCACTTTCCTTCTGTGCTTTTAGATAGGCTTTGTCCTTCATTTCCTCTTAGCTACATCTTTTTTGTTTATTTTTTTACCAGTCCTGTCTAGAATAGAGTTGTCTATATTCCCTAGACATACAGAAAGAATAGGAAGCTGTCAAGTCCCCCAAATTGGGGAAACAAGTACAAACTGAAAGCCACTGTCATTCTTAGTGAGTACTAGCAACCTTTCTGAAGTGAGCTCTGTTGTTGTTTTAATGTGCTGTCTAGTGGATTCCAATTGAACTTGACAGGGTTTCTAAGGAGTGGCTGGTGGGTTTGAACTGCAGACCCTGTGGTTAGCAATACAGTGCTGATCTTGCAGCAGCATACCTGGACTCCCAAATGAGCTCTATAGCCAGGGAAATAATCATTTTCTACTTTAAATCATATATAGTATGAGAATAATTCATAAACATCTACATAAAAGATGCTTAATACCTGAGATCTTTACCTTTTCATTTCATACAAATATTATCATAGATTGAACTGAATTAACAACCACCACAAATGTGTCAACTTGGCTGGGTCATGATTCTCAGTGGCTTGGCAGTTACGTAATGGCGCAACGTGGCAATTATGCAATGATTCCCCATGTTGTGATAAACCAATAAGAGGTTTAAGTGTGGGTGGGCTGCAACAAGCTTAATGTCATCACAACTCTGATCGTATGTAAGGGAGTTTCTCAGGGATGTGGCCTGCAGCATCTTTTATCTTACCAGAGATAAAAGGACAGAAGGGGGGGGGGGAGGGTGGCTATTAGTACCAATAAAGAAAAGCCAGGAAGGGATTGTGTTGTCCTTTTGACTTGGGGTCCCTGCACTGTGAAGCTCTTGGATCCAGAGGAAAAATGATGCCAAGACACAGGGAGCACCCCAGGGAATGTGGGGCCTACAGATGCTGAAAGAAGACAAGGTCTTTCCCCAGCGCTGAGAGAAAGAGAAAGCCTTCCCCGTAGAGCCAGCCCTCTGAATTTGCACTTCAAGCCTCCTACACTGTGAGAGAAGAAGTTTCTGTTTGTTAAAGCCATCCCCAAGTGGTATTTCAGTTATAGCAACCCTAGAGAACCAAGACAATCGTACCTTCAGGGTGATGCCCACATCTTTCATTTGCCAATGTTTATTTGCTATTTCTACAGCTTCCTTCTCAATGTTTTCTTGAGTGGTACCCTTCACATCGATGTAGTAGCCTTCAGCACCAGAGAAATGGCAGGAAATTGCCTGTGAAAAGTGAACCAATCGATATTTGGGATGAGGGGAATGGCCCATGAATACCAGCAATCAGCCAAGTTGTCTTTGGTGGAAAGTCAATTAACTCAATATTTGATTTCTAAATTGAAGGCTTGTTTTATGGTATCCTAAATCACTCAGTGTAGTTCAGCTTCCTTTTTTGCCAGCCAAAGGATAACTGAGAAACTTCAAGCAGCTTGTAACTACCTGTGATACCCATTTTCAAGTTGTTTAAAGGTGTATTCAAGGCAAAGAGATCCTTATTATTTTAGTACTTGATTTTTCTAGTGAGCCCCTAAAAAGAAATGTATGTCATTGTAGTTCATCATTTTCTTAGTCACAAAACCAGCTACCCAGTTAGATGTACCGTTGCTGTTAAGTGCCTTGGAGTTAGTTCCGACAGGGTTTCCAAGGCTGTAAATCTTGAGGGAGCAAAAAGTCTCATCTGTCTCCTGTGGAATGGCTGATGGGCTTGAACCACAGAACTTGTAGTCACAATCCAGTGCACAGAGCACCGCACTCCTAGTTAGATGTATGATGACTTATTATTTCAATGGCAAAAGATTATGAAATTACCTTGAGAAAGAAAATAATGCACACACCTCCTCTCAAGCCAAAAAGGCATTTAAAGTGTAGTCCTGATGTGGGGCTGTGGTTTAATGTGCAGGACTGCAAAGTCAGTTTGAACTGCAACATCGTCGGTTTAAGTTTACCAGCTGCTTCTCATAAACCTTATTATACAGGGTCACTATGGGTCAGAACTGACTCGATAGCACTTAACAACAACCACTGAAATAGAACATGTATTTCCTTCTAGGGGTAAGGCTGAAGTTACTTGGCTCTTCCTGTTAAGTGCCATTAAGTTAGTTCTGAGTCAGGTTTTCCGGGGATCGACTGGTGGGCTTGTCGTTCAAAGTGACATTAAAGTCCAGCACTTATCCTACAGTGCCACACCAGGAAAAAGGTATAAACACATCTATACTACAAGGCAGTGATAACAACGCACCTGCATTTTAAGAGCTAGTTATCCTAGTGAGCACACCTGACAGAAAACCTTTCTATGCTGCCAAACCATCGTATATCCAGAGCACAAAGTCACAAGCTCCATTTCCTATGTAAGCTCTGATGCCTTGATTAGTAATAGTAAAGATGGAAAATGTGCACTCCTATACACATGTATTTTTGTAATAGCTAATGTTTTTCCGGACTCCTAGTGTGGTGTTATAGGAGCTCTGGTACATAGTGGTAATGAGTCAGGCTGCTAATCTCAAGGTCAGCATTTCAAAACTACCAGCCATTATGTGAAAAAGTAGGCTTTCTGCTCCTGTAAAGACATACAGTCTTGGAAACCCTATGCAGAGTTGCTATGAGTCAGAACCAACTCCACAGCACAAAACTACCACCAGTGTGGTTTTGTAGGATAAGCACTGGACTGCTAATCGAAAGGTCAGTGGTTCAAACCCACCAGCTGCTCCTTGGAAACCCTACACAAGGTCCATGTAAGTTGGAACCAACTTGACGGCACTTAACAACAAAAACGTTTTTCCAGAATATTAATGTATTCAAAAAAATATTATAAAATTTAAAAGTTAGTATATTAAAACTCACAATGTTATTTTATAGTGTTATGCTTGCCACCTCCCCCACGCTCCCTACACATAGTCCCCTGTACCATGGTTCTGAGGTCTTTCAAGTTCAGAGTTGGATCCTGTCTTCATTTAAAATTTTATTATTCTATGCATCATGGAATTTTTGCATTGATTCTGACTTGTAAATATTGTATTAAAATAGTATCTATTTTGCAGGTGCAATATTGAAGGAGGTACCAAATACTCACTGGCTCTCACTATTTCCCCCTAATGCTGTCCCTGGATGAAATATGAGGGGCTTCAAAAACTTTGTAAGAAAACAAAGTTAAAAGAGATTAGAATTTTTCCATGAAGTTCTTGAAGCCCCCTTATAAAGTACTTTACTCTGAACCTTGGGGAGACACCAAGAATTTATGGGAACTGGGTTGTGTTGTTGTTGTTGTTAAGTACCGTGGAGTCGGTTCCGACTTGTAGTGACCCTGTAGAGGGTTTCCGAGGCTGTAAATCTTTATGGGAGCAGAAACCCTCATCTTTCTCCCGCGGAACAGCTGGTAGTTTCGAACTGCTGGCCTTGATGTTAGCAGCCTGATTCGTAACCACTACACTACCAGAGGTCCAAGCAGGAAAGTCTCACTAAGTCTCAAAGGAGCCCCCAGTATTTAGTATTGATAATCATCTACCACCAGGAAACGTGATCCCAGAGTACTTTCAGATCTTCTGAATATAAAAGAAGAATTCGGGATACTTACAAGAAATGTTGTTGATTTTAATTTGTAAATCAAGAAATTTTAAAATCTGGTGGAGCTGTAGAATAAAGCACTGGACTGCTAACCACAAGGTTTGAATTCACCAGAAACTCTGCAGGAGAAAGATGAGGCTTTCTGCTATCATAAAGATTCACAGCCTTGGAAACCCTATACAGGGTTACTATAAATTGGAATTGACCCGACCAATGGTAGCGAATTGATGAGTCTGTGGCAGCTAAAATGTGAGGGTCAACACACAATTGCTTGCAAAATCTGATTTCTGAGCTTCCAATTCAGACACTTTGTTTTGGATCAATAATAATATATCTTTTTTCCAATAGCAAAAAATAATATAAACTTTCTTCTTATAATGGTTACCCTGAACTATATAAACTCCAAATTTTATTATTTTAGTATTTGAGCCATGATTTTTGCCTTACTCAAGGTAAGTAAGCTGTTTTCTTCTGAAGCAAGTTCAGGAATGTTCATAGCTCAGAATCAAAGGATTTGGTTAGTATCCTGGTTTTTACTGATCAGAGCAAATACTTTACATTTTCATAAATTTAAATTTTTTTGTATCTAACCCGTTTTCTTGAAAAAAATACAGCAATAAAATGGACTAAAGAGGCCTGTTTTGTTAAAATATACAAATCCTTTACATTTTGAAATATTTTAAATATTCCTATCTAACCCCAGTCTTCTTTGAAAAGTGCAGCAATATTAATGCATACCTTTCGGAATCCCTGGGTTTTGTTCCGGCCAGATCCGTGGATGAGCAGAGGATGAAAGAAAACTGTGTCTCCCTTCTCCATCACAAGGTGTACCCGGTTGTTGTTTTTGTCATAGTCCTGGATCCCATGGTACATTATATTAACTCCCCCCTAGAACATAAATAACATAATAAATTGAGAAAAGATTGAAGTTGTCAAAGACTTCATTTTGCTTGGATCAACCATCAACACTCATAGAAGCAAAAGTCAAGAGATCAAACAGCGTATTGCATTAGGCAACTCTGCTATGCATGATCTCTTCAAAGTGTTCAAGAGCAAAGAAGTCAGTTTGACGACTACGGTGTGCCTGACCCCAGTCATGGTATTTTCAATAACCTCTTATGCATGTGAAAGTTGAACAGTGAATAATGGAGACTGTAGAAATGATGATGCATTTGAGTTACAGGTTGGAGAATATTGAAAATACCACGGGGTACCAGAATAATAAACAAATCTGAGTTGGAAGAAGTACAATCAGAATGCTACTTAAAGCCAAGATGGCCAGGTTTTGTCTCTTATACTTTGGACATATTGTCAGGAAGGGTCCGGTCCCTGGAGAAGGACATCATGCTTGGTAAAGTGGAGGGACAGTGACAAAGAGGAAGACCACCAATGAGATGGATTGGCACAGTGGCCCCAACAATGGGCTTAAGCTTAGCAGCAATTGCAAGGATGACGCAGGACCGGGCAGTGTTTTGTTTTGTTGTACATAGGGTCACTATGAGTCAGAACCAACTCAGTGGGACCTAACAACAACAACACATAACAAGTAGCTTACTCTATATTTTAGGAAGCACAAGAATTACAAAGTATCATTGACTCAGCAGGGAAAGCAAAGGTTTTCTGAGTTATTCTAGAGAAAGCAATATTTAAGGCAGATTCTCCTTGAAAGCATACAAAAGTTTTTCAGAGGTATGGTTTTAAAAATCCATGTATTGATATTAAAACCATCTCAGAGAACCAAATGAAAAATTTGGAATTTCCATGTACCCTTCATTGTTGCATTGACAAGCGCCATCGAGTCGGTTATGACTCAAAGAACTCTGAGGAGCAGCTGGTGGGTTTGAACCACTGACCTTTTAGTTCAGCCCAGTGCTTATCCTACAGGCCACACCAGGACTCCCTGCCCTTCATTGCTGAATTATAAATGAAGATCTGGTTTGCACTATCAGGTGAGTGTAGGAGATTGCCTGTCTTTTCAGCATTTCCAGTCTGAATACAGAATCATTTTTTATATGTTTTCCCAGCATGATATTCCCTCACCTAGACCTGGGTATAAATTACTCTTATTGTGTTATGTGGAGTACTAGTGAGGTTCTGTGGGCTAATGTGCTGGGCTACAAGGTCGGTTTGAATCATAAGGTCAGCAGTTCAAGCTCACCAGTCGCTCCTCAGAAATCTTAAACGGTGTTGCTTTGAGATGGAACCAACGCTATGGCACTTAGCAGCTGCATCTTATGTTACATAAAACTGTTGTATTATGTCTGAGAAGCTGATGGTTTTACTCCAATGAGGGGAGAGAAAATGTTCAATTTTTCTGAGCTCAAAAGACACTTCTGAGCTTCACAACCAGGGTAAAGAAAAACAAATAGTCGATGTTTATAACTATTTCTAAAATTAGTTACTGCTTTGTTGCTGTTGTTGTTAAGCACTGTTGAGTCAGTTCTGACCCACAGCAACCCTGTATAGGGTTTCCGAGGAGTGGCTGGTGTGTTTGAACTGCCAACCTTGTGGTTCACAGTCCAGTGCTGATCCTACAGCGCCACACCAGGATTCCCTGCTTTAAGTAATGGAACATATCTTTATTAGTAAAGGAACTGAAGTTAAATGTGATTAAAGTTTCCAAGCCTTTCTGGAAGCACATCTGCCCTTCATTCTCCTTCCTAAGAGTACCCAGAATTCCTTTGGTGGATGACCTCTTCCCTGATGTGTTGGAACTTTGACTGCTGCCCTCTTTCCTGGTCAGGGTGAATTTGTAGCCCAAGCAAGGCCAATCAGACCTCCTAATGCTGATACTCTGAATTCAAGCAGAGATTCAGAGACTGAATATCACCAGTGTTCAATTACACAGACCTGTTGCCCCACCCTAGACTGTTCCTGTCAAGCAAGAATTTCTGTTTTCCATCCCTTCAGAGATAACCTTTCTTCCCACAGACTCTGCCAACAAATCCAGTATCATTCCCAAAGAACCAGTTAGATCTCATCTAATAGTCCTTCATCATCAACAACAGAACACATAAACAACTGTAACAATGGAATACCTCTAAGAAATGAAAAGGAAATAACTATTGATGTATGCAACACAGCTGGCAAATCTCCAAATAGTTTTGCTGATGAAAGAAGCCAGACTAAAAAAGGGCACACACTATACAATTACTCATACCTTTAAATGGTGGTGGTGGTGTGAAAGGTCAAGCTCATCTACAGTAACAGAAAGCAACTCAATGATTGTCTGGATGGGTTGGGATTGGGGACAGGATTATCTGGATTATGGTGATGGTTTCTCAAATTTGTTGTTGTTAAGTGCCATTGAGTCGGTTTGGATTCATAGTGATCATGTATAGGATTTCCGAGGAGTGGCTGGTGAGCTTGAACCACAGATTTTGTGGTTCAAACTGACCTTGCAGTCCAGCGACAGGGCTCCTTCACAGGTATAGATTCATATTTCTGTCCCTTGTATATGTAAAATGTTATCAAATTGTACTCCAACAACATGTTGTTCATGATATGAGGGGGTTTCAAAAGGTTTGTGGAAAAATGGAATTGAAAGATAATGCAATTTTTCCATGAACGTTGTGAAACCCCATTATATGTCAATTATGCATCAATAAAATTTTTGAATAAAAATTTTTCCATCTTCCTGTAAACCAAAAAAAATTGTGTGTCTTCCCCCTGCAAAAAAATAAAGTGCAGACTCATTGGTACAATAAACAATGTCCTTTCCAGTCAGGTTCTAATGTACCTTCTCAGGCTCATCTCTGCTGCTACTCCCCAAAAGGAGCCCCGCCCCAGCCCATGTGTCAGTCCAGCTTCTTAGGCAGCCTCATGCTCACCTTGACCCCCATCAGACATTCCACCCTGCCCTTCAAGGCTTGTCCATAAATCCCAACCTCCACACAGTCTTCCACGATCTCTCCTGCTAAGCGGGGATCCCATCCTCCTCTTCACTCCAAGAGTCACTGGAATGTAAAACTTGACACGTACCCCAGGTATCCAGTTTTGAAATGTTTATGTTCCACCTCTGCATAAATTAGGCTTTACCATCTCCAATCCTAGGCAACACCTGCCAATGTTCCCCACCCTTGTTGAAAGGCCTAAAGTAATGACTATTTTATCGAATATCTTTTCACTTTCTCTGATCCTAATTCTGAGTCACAGAACATTGTTTGACTGAGAAGAGAAATGTGGTCCATGCACAAAGCTCTTTACACAGAATGAACACAACAAAGGAGATCCTGTCCAGGATTTGGCTGCGAGGCCGACTTACCTCCCACTGGGGGTAGTCATGCTGCTTCAGGGGGCCCTTGTGGGTACCCGGAAGCACAACCAGACAGCCATTGTTTCGGTCAATGTGCTCCATAGCTGTCCAAGCACACACAATGGTATTGATTGGCCGGAAGGGGAAATAGTGCAGGTCTTGGTGTAAGGGATGGCGGGATGTCTTCTTGCCTGAAATAGAGCCTGCTGTTAAAGAAGCTCGAGGAATGAACTATGACATATACATACCCAAAACCCAAAACCAAACCCACTGCTTCAAGCCAATTCCTACTCATGGCAACTGCCTGTATTATAGAATAGGGTTTTCCTGGCTGGTATTTTTACAGAAGCAGATTTCCAAGCCCTTTCTTCCACAGCGCCCTTGAGTGAGTTCAAACCACCTATCTTTGGGTTAGTAACACAGAGTCATTATACCCAGGAACCTCATATGTATATACAGTGGGAAACTACTCAGTCAAAAAGAGAAATGAAATTCTGATACATGCTATAATGTGGTTGAACCTTACATACTTTAAACGAATTTTTCGTTTCTCTCCCTAACAAACAAGAGTCCTTTACCAGCATCTGGAGGCTTGTTTATCAGCATTGTATGCATGGCCAAAATATTGGGCCCAGTGAAACATTCCACATATTTCAGAATCTGAGGGGAAAGAAAAAGAAACAAACCTTAAGAGAAACCGAGGCATAGGCAGGTAGCACTGTCTTAAAATTCAACTACCCATACAATAGCCAAAATCAAAATGACAACAATTTCAAAACCACTGGTAATTCACAATATTGCAAACAAATCATGTAAGAATTACACAATTGGAAATCATCACAAATCTAATTGTGCTGTTACAGCACTCTGTGTTATGTAGGCTTTATGAAGGCAGCTAGGCACATAACTCATTTTTTTCTATAAGGAAGATGTGATGTTTCTATGAGATATCAGTTGGTAAGGGCAGGAATAGCTTTTCAATAAAAGAGATAAGGTGGCTGCCCAGTGAGAAGCTGTACCCTCCTTCTTCCTGGAGACCTCTTGTGAGCAGAGACCATGGAAGAGTTCTACTTGCAGCTGTACATGAGCAGTCCAGAAGAAAGCAGAACAGTGGCTCAGAGGATGCTTCACAACCAGTGTGACCATTCATTCAACAACTTTTTACTAAGTCCTGGGTAGTGTAAACAGTTAACACTACTAACCAATAGGTTGGAGGTTCAAGTTAACCCAGAGATGCCTCAGAAGCAAAGCCTCGAGATCTACTTCAGAATCCCTGTAGGGGTACAGTTCTGCTCCGATATACATAGGGTTGCCATGAGTCTAATCAACTCAATAGCAACTCATTTGTTTTTTAGGAACCAAGTGGTGATGGGAAGTAGCGATGAAACAGTGAACAAAACAGACAGATCCCTATCCCCATGGGGTTTGTAGTCTGGTGGGACAAAAGGTGTTAAACAAGCTCATGACGTGGATACTTGTGGTTGAGACACTCTGATGAAGAATGAGCTACACTGAGCGCCTGTAACAGGGCTGTCTTCACCACGGGGCCGGGGAGTTGGGGTGATCCCTCACATACCTAACGCAGTTCAGGAAAGGACAGAAAGCAGAAAGGACTTGAAATGGAATGCCTACTATGTGGGGGACTTTAGACATCAACCCACTGAAGATTTGGTGGTGGTGGTAGTGGTTTTGTGCCGTGGAGTCAGTTCCAACTCATAGCGATCCTGCATAGGGTTTCTGAAGCTGTAAATGTTTACGGAAGCTTAAAGCCTCATCTTTCTCCCATGGAACAGCTGGTAGTTTTGAACTGTTGACGAGGTTAGCAGTCTGACTCATAACCACTACACTACCAGAACTCAAGACAAACAGTTTTACATAAACAAAGTGCATGTTATGTTCACTTTGTTTTGTTTTGTTTTTACCAACTGTACCCTCTCTGATCTGGGCATTTTCATTAGGCATGCTATGGTAATTATTGCTACTATATACACAAATAGTCAAAGTCAATTAAATGAAAAAGATGGTAATTCAAACTCAGATTCTGAGTAACTCTAAAATATGAGGCTTCTTCCAATTTGGTTTCTTGTGCATAAGGAATATGGACAATTTGAACTTGAAACACTTGAAATGTTGTAAAAATCCTAGAATAGTCAGGCCTCATTCTTTTTTTCTCTCTTTTGTTTTCTAAAGCCTGTCGTTTCTCTGTCATTACCTAGACAGGTAATTCCTATGTCTGTCACTGAAAAACCATCTTCACAATTTCTGCCACACATCTGTATTGCTATGTATTCTATCATTTCTTTAATCTTAGGAACTATGGTGGCCCTGTAAGAGAGGCACTGAACTGCTAACCACAAGGTCAGCAGTTCAGACTCACCAGTCAGTCTGGGAGAAAGATGAGGCCTTCTACTCCCATAAAGATTTACAGTCTCAGAACCCCTACATAGGATTGCTATGAGTCAAAATCAACTCAATGGCAGTGAGCTGTTTTTGGTTCTTTAATTTAATTCCTTTTGCTTAATCTGACCCTGGTGGTGGTGTGCCATGGAGTTGGTTATGACTCATAGCGACCCTGAGTAGGGTTTCCAAGGCTGTAAATCTTTACTGGTGCAGAAACCCTCATCTCTTTCTCCAGTGAAATGGCTGGTAGTTTCGAACTGCTGACCTTGAGGTTAGCAGCCTGACTCATAACCACTATACTACCAAAGCTCCTTAATCTGACCCTAGTTAATAATATTCTTGAAATCTTAGGTTTGATGCTGGTTATTTTTTTTCTAATACGTATTAAAATAAATGCCTAACTATTAAAATAATGTCCTAAAATTATTGCATGAACCACCGGATGCATGTCCACCCTGTAGAGATGTAGAAAACCTGACATGGTGACAGTGTCTTATCCACCACAAGTCCTGTCTCTGATGCCAAGCTTTTCATCCATGATCCATTTCTATCACAAGGAATGAGGTCAGGAAGCATGAATGGTCCAAAGGGCCACTCCCCTCTGGGGCTCTCCCTGGAAACTGGTCATCACCGGTGTCTTACCTGTACATTCTTTCTTCACCAAATTGAATTTTCTAATAGCATCGGGTCATCATTTCTAATAAGTATTATATGTAAGGTTGCCTTCAAAACCATTTTATCAGGATGTAAGGGTAAAAATACATTTGATGGAAATACTTATGTAGATTTAAAGACCCAGTCACTCCTCTGGAGTTTATACATTCAAGAATGATTAATCTGTGTAATATACTGATCACTATAGTCATTTCATAAGGAGCTCTGGTAGCGTAGTGGTTACGAATCGGGCTGCGAACCTTAAGGTCAGCGGTTCGAAACTACCAGCCACTCCGCGGGA